GGCGAGGGGCCGGCGACCTCGCGGGCGAGCCGGACGAGCCCGAGGCGGGCTTCCCCGCCCTCTGCGCGACCGCGGCGACCCGCGGCGAGGTGAGCCTGGCGCCGCTGCTGTGGAAGCAGGCGGCGCCGCTGTTCGGCCTCTGCGAGCCACCTCTTGGAGGTGGCGTTCAGAGCGAGGTGCTTGTGCCGGCGGTCGGGATGGAGTACGTGATGATCCTGCAGGAGCTCCTGCACTGGGAGGGCTACGTCCGCCACCTCCCCAACGACTTCGTGGGGCATCTGTGCCGTCGCCTGCTCGACCTCCTGGAGCGCGCGGCGGCCAAGAGCCCGGGCGAGGCGGCCCCGGCCTGGCGGGCCCCGGTCAGCCCCGACGACGCCACGGGCTACGCGGCCGCGCTTTGCCAACTGTGCGCCCTCCCTCAGATCGCCGCCTGCCTCGGCGATGAGGACGAGGACGGGGAGATCGAGGGGGAAGGCGGCCCCGGCGGCGCCCCCGAGCGAGCGCGGGGGGCGGGGGCGATCCCCGCGGCTCCCGCGCTCGCCGCAGGCGACGTGGTGCGTCGGTTGAGCGGCGTCGTTCGCCAGCTCCACACGGCGGAGCCCCCGACGGCGGCGCTGCGCCTGGAGGCGAACACCCTCCGCGCCCTCCGCCGTTTGCTCGGGCAGATCCAACACGACCACCCCCGCGTCGCCCGCCGCCCGTTTGACCTGGTGGAGCTTCTGTGCCATTTCTTCGCCCTGCCGCTCACGCAGCGGAACGAGGTCTGGCGCTCCGAGGCCCTGGGCTTCATCACGCTCCAGCTGAGCTTGAACTTCGCCGGGGTGCTCGGGGTCTGCGTGCGGGCGGACCTCCGCCGCGGCCTCTGCTGCGATCGCGACGACTTCTCGTCCCTCGCGAGCGGAACAAACGACCGGGCCGAGGGGGATTCCCCCCCCCACAGCCGAAATCGCCCCGAGGCGACGGGCGAAGCGGCCCCGTTCGGGCCGCTCGAGGACGTCCTGCCGGCGCCCTCCGCGCTGTCGGTCCTGCACGAGGTCGTGCTGCCGATGGCCTTTCGCTTTTTTACGCAGCCGCGGCAGTACTACAGCGGGATCTCCCGGCGGGAGCTCTTCCACGGCGCCGGGGCCGCCGCCCTGCGGGTGGTCTTCGACTTCGGCGCCGTGGTGTGGTACCTCGCCGGCGCGACCGCCGCCGTCTACGCCGCGAAGCAGCCGCCCTCTGCGGAGGAAGAGGCGGAAACAACCATCGAAATGGGCGGGCACAAGCGGCCGCGGGGGTCGTCCTCGCGCGCGGGCGGCCCCCCCTGCGGGATCGCCCGGCCGCGCTGCTTTTCACGGCCCTGCAGGCGTCCTTTTTC